TTTTCCAGGTGTATATAAAGCTCAAGGTAGAATATATTTCAAATAGTTTCATAAAATTTACTGTCTTGTTGCAAAAACACCAAAAGGCTATGATAATGTAAACAAAATAAAAATTACACAAAAAGAATAATATCCTATATGTTTTTTGTTTAAATTTAGATACACAGAAGACAGAAAACGTAAAATCGTACGTAGAAAGTCTAGCCATAATAGTGGTACGACTTACTCTCATGACTCCTTTGAAATCGAAGAAGGCATGTTGAGTGTAAGAATCGGTTTATTTTGAAGGCCATTTTATTTTTTAATGACTAAATAAAATCAGTTATCTCCAGAGTATTATTCACAATTTACACCAGAATTAGTTATTCGTTATTTTATTGTATAATAGACTCATATATACATATATAGACCGTGTTGAATCTACATCATGTAATACCTTCTTTATGGAATTCAATCGGATGGATTCGAAAACCCCAAAACCAAATACCGTCACTGACTACATTATGATATATCAGCAGAGACCTGCAAAATATATGCGGTCAAATTAGTATCTTTATTGCAACAGTACTTCTTTAGATACAGGATTTTTAGAATAATGCAAAAGAATTCTAATAGCAGACACCGAAATCTATAAGTCTACTCGTCTTAGACCTAACATTAGTTAAGCCTTTATTAAGTACGACGTATATTCGATAAAGAGATAAATTAACACTGCAACTTCTGTACGTTTTTGCTTTAGTTTAAGTAGGGCTAAACTGTACCGTACTTAATACTATCAATGAATAAACTTATAATGTTATTGGTAAACATATTTGCTAGAGAAATAACTAAGTATTCTACTAAAACCTACTAGTGAATCTCTTCATTACTATCTCAGAGAAGAAGTGAAATGGAAGTATTTGTATGTATGTGTGTGTGAAATAACGTAAACAATGTTTTATAATGTCGGTACTTTTATATCAGTGTTGTCCCCGCGCCCACATCTACGTCAGAAGGAACTCAAGCTTATTATAAAGTAGGTTCTGAAGACGGAAGCAGGCCAGGGAAATTTTTTATAAACGTTGCGGACCTGAGCAGAAAGTAAGTGCGTTTTTGAAATTTTATTTTTCGAGATATCTTAAAGAATTGGAAAAATTAGGAAAATAATATATAATTGAGAACACTTCTATATCAATCACTGAAGTACATTATTTAGATTTAAATATTAAGATAATTAATAAATAATGTATAATTGAGAACACTTCTATATCAAATACTTAAGTACATTATTTAGATTTAAACATTACGATAATTAATAAATAGTATATAATTGAGAACACTTCTATATCAAATACTGAAGTACATTAATTAGATTTAAATATTAAGATAATTAATAAATAATATATAATTGAGAACACTTCTATATCAATACTGAAGTACATTATTTAGATTTAAATATTAAGATAATTAATAAATAATATATAATTGAGAACACTTCTATATCAATACTGAAGTACATTATTTAGATTTAAATATTAAGATAATTAATAAATAATATATAATTGAGAACACTTCTATATCAAATACTGAAGTACATTATTTAGATTTAAATATTAAGATAATTAATAATTATTATAATATTAATATTTATGATAAAAGAAAGGATTTTACATTTCAAAAATTTTGGACTTCCCTCGTCAAACATTGACGAATGCCCTACAGAGCATTATACACTCGTAGCTTCTTAGGTATTGTAGAATTTGTAGTAATGTACAGTTCTTAATATCTAAGATTAATATATCAGTACATAAACTAATTTTTAATGAATTAGATGAGAAAATATTTATTAAATATTTTAAATCATTCTATAATAAATACACAAATTATTTATATAAATTTGAAAATAGTGATTTAAACAAAATTATAATACGTAAAAAAAATAATTTCTAAAATTTATTGTAGGGGAATAATTGGGATTACCTATTGGATACTTCATATCTTATGTAGATAAATTAACGTAGTGGTAGTTGTATCACCTTCCCTATATAATACCTGCTCCTTTAGAACAATTGACGATCCAGATAGCAGTATGGAAGGATGTAGAGCTATACTAGTAATATTGTTTGGTCTTAGTATAGTAATATATTAACATCTTGGTATTTACGTCCAAACATCATATTGGGGGCTGGAATGCTAACTTCAAGGACAGTTTTTCTGTCTCCCCCGTTGATGTCTTGTATTCTGTTATTTCTTTCTTCGTCTTATTATTATTTTTATGAGCAACCATCGTTCGACATCTGGCTGCAGATAGCGAAACGTGGTAAAGATGTAGGATGTTGTGGGTTAGGACACCCACATCTGCTCCATTATGTTTTTTATGCACGTAAGGCCGGCGAAGTTGAGATTAAACTGGATAGATGATGTCCCCCCCCCCCCAATGCAATTTGGGTCTTACTTTCGTCAGTACTTCTAACAACCGGGCACATTACGTAATGACCCACCTTGTGATTTGTGCCCCAGTGTTGGATGCATGTATTGTGTCTGCGATTTTTTTTTTCCACATAAAATTATATATTTAATTATATTTCATATAAGGTTTGGGTATGCTGTATAAAATTCGTGCAATACTTAATTTTGATGTATTCGTTTTTTAGTATATGAATCAAATTAAGCAAGTAAATTATAATTGTTATTAAACTTATTTAAGTCGTTCACAAATCGAATTTTTTACGTATGAATTAGTAATGCAACATTATTTATTTTATTTTAACTGTTTACTTTTATATATTTTTTGTAAAGATAAATTTAGATTTCAGCACAGTTGTAATGCAAATACAGTTTGGTTCAAAATATCTGTTAAATTTTCTCGGATGTTCAATAATACTGTTGTTTAGTATCCAAGTTCCAAACCAAGTGTTTTGAGGTTTAGCACAAACACACAGTATTTAATATACACCGACTAGCGACTTTGTTAGAGCTCCCGCCTAGTAGCCCCCAAGTGGCACAGCTGTATGTCTGCGGACTTACAATGCTAGAAACCGGGTTTCGATACCCGTGGTGGGCAGAGCACAGATAGCCCTTGTGTAGCTTTGTGCTTAATTACAAGCGAACAAACAAACCCGCCTAGTAATGGATTGGATCAAGTTTTTAAAGCTGTAAGATAACTTTGACTCGACATGCCATAAAGGGCTGAACGGTAGGTTGTTTGACTGTAGCTAGTTCGACGAGAAGTAGGGTTTACACTTTGTTTGTAGTTAACGACGAAAAGTAACTATGACGAAAACGACGTTCAAGTTACTGCTTTTTGAACCAGTTTCGGGCAATACGAAGGTCGTGGACTATCATGTTATCGTCTGGTAAGTCAGGAGAGAAAAATAGGGTTGTCAGGAAGACATGATCGACAATAACGTTCAAGCACATTTTGGATACTGTTAGCTCTTTTAATTAAATTTAAATAATCGTCACCAGTGGTGTTACAGTGACGAGTCTGAAGGCTTATAACTCTAAAAACCGGGTTTCCGTGGTATAAATTTACTCTTAACAACAAACAAACAAGCAAAGAAAGGAATCAAAGAACCCTACACTTGTCACAAGGACATAAATGTAGCCTGCAACAGCTTGCACTGTCACATAAACATAAGTAGCATCCAATGCTTTTGTCCTTACTTTACAAAATCGTCATAGAAGACAGTAAAATGCGAGTCATATTGCATGCTTCTGACCATTCGTTGCCACAGTTAGTACTCTAAACACTCGCATGCTTCTGACCATTCGTTGCCACAGTTAGTACTCTAAACACTCGCATGCTTCTGACCATTCGTTGCCACAATTTAGCACTAAACACTTTTAAAGCAGTGCTTTCCTGTTTGTATCGTTTTTCGGATTGGTTGTAAACTGTTATATGAACGACTTTTTAACTTCCTGTATATGCATATGGTGCAGTTGAAGATAGTTCCAAACTGACAACTTTAAGTTTATTGCATATACAAGACTATCAATCGTTACTTTTGACGTTATTTTACTAGTTGATAACACGTACATATGAGTGTTTATACATATATATTTATAAATCCTGTTGAAACCACATTAGTATTTTTTCTGGATCTTGATTCATATAGATTTCAAAACATAAAAACAACTATCATCTCTTAATAGCTTACGATGTATATATATTTATAAATCCTGTTGAAACCACATTAGTATTTTTTCTGGATCTTGATACATATAGACTTCAAAACATAAAAACAACTATCATCTCTTAATAGCTTGCTATATATATATATATATATTTAAAATATCATGTGAAAGGTTGTTATCAGGCTTTACACCGGTAGAACGTTATAGCGAACGAACTTCTAGTTATCAAAATAAAACGGTATGACCAGAGCTTTAGAATATAATTCCCATTACTAAGCAAGTTTAAGTTTATATCTTCCGTCATACAAAAGTAATTGATTTTTTTTTGTGGAATGATAACGACTGATGTATCTTATTATAAATTAATGGTTTGTTTCCTTTGGTGCAAAACTACACAATGGGCTATCTTTGCTCTGTCCACCTCATGAAATTGAGTCCCAGATTTTAGCATTGTAAGCCCCCCAGATCTACAGCGAACCCATCTGGACTATAAATTATTATAGTTTTGCATTTCTTATTTTATGTACCCTTAATAGAAATCAGTCACTCTCTAACTGAGGGCCCCCAGTAGCATAGTGGCATGTCTACGGACTTACAAGACCAGAAACCGGGTTTCTATACCCGTGGTGGACAGAGCATAGATAGCCCATTGTGTAGCTTTGTGCTTAACTACAAACAAACTCTTCGTGAGGTTGACCAGGTCGTCATCTTCAAGTAGGCTTTACTAAACCTATTACGTCTACCAGAGTGTTCAATCGTCACTTCATTAGATATGTTAGACTTGCAGTTGGAAGACAATTGTTATTAGTAACTGCTTGCTTCTGTTGGCCTTTAAAGAGTCTGTAAAAGAAATTTTCTTTGATAAAGAGAAAGATCTTTGTTTTACAGAGTAACCATTGTATAATTACTCCCTGCATTTATAGCACTAAAACAATCATATGATCAACTTATTTTGCATATGAAAGTAAATGTAGGCATCAAGAAATATGTGGAGTGGCTAGTCGGTGTAAAGTATTTGTATCTCTGTCACTTATGTTAAATTTGTAGGATTATACATATTGAAACGTTATTATCAGTTTTGAAACAAATGGATTTCTTTACTTGACTTGTGTGACAACTTTTTTGTACGTTTCCATTGGTTTTCTCTTCCTAAGCCCCAAATATGAAATCATGAGTGTCTCTCTTCATGAGGGTGAACCAGGTCATCATCTCCAGGTAAGCTTCACAACTACGTTACAGATATTTGTTTTACGTACAAATTGTTTTTTTTTTAGCTAAAATAGCGATGACTGTATACGTATTTGTTTTCTTTAACCAAAAGTTGCAAGCACTGTTTTTGTTTTCAACTATGAATATAATGGTAAACAAATAACTCAAAAAAATCATTAACTAATTAGCACTGGTGTAAAGATGTGTAGCTTCTTAAATTCTGTTTGATAGATTGGCCAAATTAAATAAACGTTAATAAAGAAAAAAATAACCGTCCAGTGGTTTACATAACGAGTTTGTGTTGAAGTAATTATTTACTAATGTTTTTCTAAATTAAAATTTCAAATGTTGTGAAATAACCTTTATAAATAAAGTATATGCAGAAAAAAAGAAAAGGCTATTAATAAACTAGTTATAGATGTATAGCTATATCATCATTTGTTTGTTTTTGTACATAGCTACATATTTGTAGCAGGATATTTTATATCGTAGTCTTTGGTAAATAGGTAAACCCTGAAATATTTGACAGTCAAAGTAATTAAGAAGTTAATCTGAAACTCAATCTATTATTCGATTAACCACTTGTTACTGAGTTACAACGGTTTCGGAATTTCATACCTTATTACCCCTGAACAAGGGGTTTTATTACCTCTGAACAAGGGTAAATCGAAAGAATGAGACTAGATTTCATAAATATAGGATCACTGTGGTGAATCCATACATGTAATATACATTCCACCACGCTGAGTAACTCAAAAATAAATCTGTAAAATAAATTCTACATATTCTTAATCTCCTATAAATATAGGATCACTGTGGTGAATCCATACATGTAATATACATTCCACCACGCTGAGTAACTCAAAAATAAATCGGTAGAATAAATTCTACATATTCTTAATCTCCTATAAATATAGGATTACTGTGGTGAATCCATACATGTAATATACATTCCACCACGCTGAGTAACTCAAAAATAAATCGGTAGAATAAATTCTACATATTCTTAATCTCCTATAAATATCTGATCACTGTGGTGAATCCATACATGTAATATACATTCCACCACGCTGAGTAACTCAAAAATAAATCTGTAGAATAAATTCTACATATTCTTAATCTCCTATAAATATAGGATCACTGTGGTGAGCAAAAAGAATCCATACATGTAATATACGCTCCATCACGCTGAGTAACTCAAAAATAAATCGGTAGAATAAATTCTGCATATTCTTAATCTCCTATAAATATAGGATTACTGTGGTGAGTAAAAGCCCTACATTCAACATGCAAGTAACTGACTCAAAATCGGATCCCAGTTCTCCGAATGGCTTACACTTATTAATTAAGCTCTTCCCTTCTATCAACTTCTTTTCGTCCGCCAGCTTAAGCATATACATTAAATCGAACTAATATGAGGTTGGATCACGTGATAAAAGCCTGTATCTGTAATGACATTAGCCCCACAAGATGTCCGAATGTACTTTTGTCGATTATAGGCCATTTGTTCAGTGGTATGGTCAGTAGCTGGTTCAAAAATGCCGGCAAAGACTACGCGAATACGAGTGGAAGGGAAAGAACCCGAATCATAAAGGAGTATGACACATACCTGTTCATAAAAATACTTTAATAATTTTTTTGATATTTGATATTTTTGGTGATATTTTAGTACAATGAGTGTTGTGGAAGGATAGAATAATAAATTAGTAGAATAAATAAATATCGGCATCAGCATTTCTCCAGAGAGATTTCTTGTTTGTTTTTTTTTTAATACATTATGTAAATTTTTTCCATTGTGTCATAGATAACCCGCTTTGTACTTTTAGGCTTAACAACAAACAAAAAAGCCAGAAGTGGATCTTTCGTTTTGTTTAGAAGTGAGAGGTATAACCAGAGTACATTTGACCTTTGCTACCGATCATGCCCACCTTTACAATGTTGCATTTCTGGCCTGATAATCAAGAGTTCTTTGGAAGAAGTAATAAAACAAATTCATTGTTCTCTTATTATCCAATATAAAAACGTAAGAGAACGATTGTCCTTCTCTTAGCACAATAACCGGACCTCAATCTCAATGAGCATCTTTGCCATGAACTGAAATTTTTACTTTTTATACCTGTGGAGGTTTTAAACAATGTGCTCATCAATATCTGCGAAAAAAACTGTGGGTGAAAATACAGCTATGTTATTTGTATAATAAAGCAATTCCTCTGTTGCCTATAGACTGTGGCTTCAGAAGAATAAAATGACCCGGGCAATAACAAAAGGAGAATTTTGATTCAATAAAGTTTCATTAATAGTTTATAATTGTCGACATTAACATATCTCCAGAGAGAGAGAGAGAAAACAAGTACATTTCTTGATATCAAGACCACTCTGGATATTAATATGTTAAATAGAAATATTACCTGCAATTCCAAGGAAATATGGTAAAGAACGAAGGGAGAGATATAGAAAAGCTAAATAACGTGATAGTAATATGTTAAATAGAGGTATTACCCGCAATTTCAAGGAAATATGGTAAAGAACGAAGGTTTGTTTTTGTTTGTTTGTAATTTAGCACAAAGCTACACAATGGGTATCGAAATCCGGATTCTAGCGTTGTAAGTCCGCAGACATACCGCTGTGCTACGTGGGGGGGGGGGGAACGAAGGGAGAAGTACAAACAACTAAACTAAGAATCTATTATTTCCAGTTTGTTTATGGAATTCTTAACATTATTGTTACACGTGGTATTAACTCTTAATGTACCGATTATATTTGTCTTCCCAACCACAACGATGATGATATTTGGGATTTCATTTAGTATAATAATTTATCTGTCCGTACTAATGATGTCCGTGAACACTCATGTTACTGGTTCCCAATTATTCTGTACTTAACTGTTGTTACTTTTAGCTTACATCATGTTCGTAACTTCACTATTCATCATGATTATAACACTTTCTCCTAAATTCTTTCTTCCAACTCTGTCTGACAGAAAATTACAGTATAATCGTAATATCCGAAGTGTCTTTATACTAGTAATAATATCCGACGTTCGATTCCCTGCGTTGAATAAAACGCAGATAGCCCTTTATGTGGCTTTGCGCTAAAAACAAAAAATTATGCCTCAGTTTTCACAAGATCTCTAACATTCAATTACCAAATCTAAGTTTTCTACTTTAGCTAGCACTTACTTCCACGAAAATCTTTGATACCCTACCCTCTACTAACAGTTGTACTTCTTGTGTAGTTCGGTGTAGTGATATCAGACTAGGGTGTACATCCGCACTAGCCGTCTCTGTTTAGCTGGTTTTTCCTCGGATCTCTTTCTGTATTATTATCCAAACTATTGGTTCCTTTCACAAAAACAAAATTCATAGACATACGTAAATCGTGAAATTATTGATCGTGCTTAAAGTAGCTTATCGTTTAATAAAGGCTGTAAATAGGAAACTCAAGGTCAAGAAAAAAGGTTAACAAAATGTCCAAATACACTTTATACTGGAAGAAATTTTCATCAAAGTAAACATTGGTCACGTAAACAAACAAACAAAAAACTGTCACTTAAATTTACATTATTAAGTGCACATTTAACGTAAATACTTTTAATTTGTGTAAACAAATACTTAATTATCAGTTATGCATGGTCATCTAATGATGATAAATTTAAATTAAGGTTTAATTAGCTAGTCAAAGTTATGCGATTAACATAATAACTAGAGATTAAAAATAATTTATTAAACTTCTAATAAATATTACCTCACAATCCATTCGAATCAACGTTAATTATTCATTAAGTAACAAATTAGGGAATTAATAATGGGTATCGACTTCACCTCCGATGTCATAGATACCGTACCCTCTATTGGCCATTCAACACACACACACCAAGCAACAAAACTAAACGTGTCAATAGTTTATTTTGAAAGAAGAGAAAGTAAACCTCATGTTTGCCTGCTCTTCCCAACTGGGGTGGTCGGGAACTGTTTTAGTTTGAATGAAGAGAAAGTAAACCTCATGTTTGCCTGCTCTTCCAACTGGGGTGGTCGGGAACTGTTTTAGTTTGAATGAAGAGAAAGTAAACCTCATGTTTGCCTGCTCTTCCTAACTGGGGTGGTCGGGAACTGTTTTAGTTTGAATGAAGAGAAAGTAAACCTCATGTTTGCCTGCTCTTCCCAACTGGGGTTGTCGGGAACTGTTCACCTTCAACCCCGCGTGTGAGATCGTTGCTTTAGTGATTTTAGTTTTAAGTTGGGCTTGTTGAATCAGACCAGAGAATAGTAAAAAAAAAGAGCTGTAGGAAGAAAGTAGGAGGAGGCAGGCAGAGTGTCTTCCTGACCAGCGGTGGTTGAGTGTCAAAAACTTCAAGTTCAACAAAACAATAAGATTAGCCATAAGGTTTCCAAAATTTATCCCAGTAAAGTATACACATAAAATCAGTAGCGTTCCCACTTTAAAGAGTAGACTAACCGAACTATCGTTCAAATATTATAAAAAAGCAGAAAAAAGAAAACAACCTGACTGCGGCATTACATAAAATCACGTACTTCGCCATACAATCTATTTTGCAAACAAGAAAAAACAGAAACTAAAACACGTACACACAAAGGGTTAGTTATGTATTACCTTACAGCAAAAGCACAGGACAGAAACTGAAAGTGTGTTTTTACCGGGTACTCCGTACCCCCCACCCTGATAAGGGCCATTAGCCCATCTCAATTAAACTAATTTAAATGATTTAAAAATTGAAATTACAACCATAATTTTCTTAATTTAAATCTGTATAATTGATCACAATAATAACATTACAAAAAATTAATTTATTATAAAACTCGTTAACTCCACCCGACATAACTTAATATCTAGAATACATGTCTGGATCTCCCTGCTTCGTCAACACATGAATCGCATTGGTTGGATATAAATGCAACCTCCCATCTCCTACCCCACTATTATAATGCTTCCAGTAATTTTCGATATCGAACAAATTCAGCAAAATTCAAATTTCTATAAGTTAATTTTGTTTTTATAGATTGGCGTTTTATAGCTCTATTTATTTACAAAAACAAATCTGTAGAAATATATCATGCTGAAATTATTTTAATGGTTACAATCAATAGAAATATAAATTCAAACTCGCTATCGTAACCTTTTAATTGTCTTTAGGAAAATAATCTCTAACCACAAAGTATTTCATGTGTTGTTGTTTCTTTCGACGGATGAACAACACACACACACACACATACGTATTAAAGACATCCTAATCATAATAAATTTTAACTGTAAAAAAAAATACATTACATCTTTATTAATCTTCTTATTGTTTTGTATTTGGTTTCAGGAATCTTTTATAAATACGCAAAAAAATATTCCTGCCTTCAGACGTTATATCGAAGACAGGAAAAATTCGGACTCCCCCTCACGTTTTCCTTTGTACACTGCTTATATTGAGGTAAAACTTCATTTTTTATTAACGCTCTTGTATTCATAAACTCCAGATGAAAGTGGGTTTAGTTTAAAATCAAAATTATATAATCTAGTCAAATTTGAAATTCTGCGTGAAAAATGGCGCAGATTAAGATAGGAGGCAATGAAATATTTTGGTACAGATATTTTGGAAAGTTTTAACCGATTCTTATAAGTCTGACCCCCCCCCTTCCTCCCCCAGTTGATAATGTGGATTTTCTTGTAAACCTATTATTTAATTTTTGTTTATATAAATACTTAATCATGAATGGATTTATTTTAATACATAAACATCAACACAATGATACTCTGTTGAATTAAAGATTTTATCACCTATTCACTTTTTGTTTGGAAGGATATTATTCAAACATGTATTAATATAATGTTCTGGCCATTTCACTGTATTCAAGTTATGAGGGCGTTGTTTCTTTAGTGTTGTGACTATTTTGCTAAATAATAAAGAGCTTAGCGACATGCGTGTTTGCATTCAATCTCTTTAATTTTAAATAACAGAACTGTTTAAGACCTTACATTGATTTAAGGCTTGCCCAAATTTTGTGTTTGGAGAATAAGTTAGCATAGTATAACTACTGTTAAATTACATCTAATCTGAAATGTTAGATAATATATTTCTAAATGTTTTTCTTTATGTTTTATTTTACAGGGCTGGGCTTTATATAGCGAATACTTGGGTCTAGAACTTGGCCTCTTCAAAGATCCGTATTTTCGGTAAGTAGTTTAAGTAATCATACAACATTAATTATTCCAAAAAAATTGCATTATACAAAACAATTACAAGACAATCACAGTTTGTAATATCATGCTTATGACAAGGCAAAAATTGTTGATAAAATGATGTAAGTCACCACTTCATTTTGTTTTTATGACAACCAGGAATCTGATCAGTCATGTAACCAGAAACGCAAGTGACTGGTCATTCATTAAATGCTATATATAATATTGAGAACGTTGTATTAAAATGACTAAGTACATAAATCAGCAAATCTAAAATCGTGGTGGAACGGATGTATCAAAACTACATTTTGACATTGTTTGGCATTTCGTAGGTAGTTTAATGCCAACGAAAATTGATCGCTTTTAAGAAGTGGTTGCAACAGCCTTTTTCGATGTACAATATTCACACACTCAGCTCATAAAGATGTGCTCAGATCACAGATTCAGAATATCACTTGCATTTTATGGCATTGGAAAACAAAGGAATACAAGTCAACTTGGGGCACCAGGACCATCCAGTCGCAGTGAGCAAAGTGCGGCCTTTTGTAGTTGCAGTAACCAACCTAAAATACATATATACCAAACAATTCCTCACCTCAAATGTGGGTCTAAGTGCCAAGATTTTTTTTACATCTATTTGATCTGGAATGTTTGACTGTTTACCAAAAGCCCACTTTGCTACCATTTTAACAAAAGTGCTTGACCTTCAGGGTAGCCTAGACTTTCGGGCTACCATCAACATTAATAAATTTGTTTTTGTGAGATTCTCAACCTTTGTACCAAATTTGATCGAAATCATGTGAAATCATTCGATTTACGGGGTTGACTTTCAACGTGATATTGACCTTTAATCTACATTCACCAAAAGTTAATCATTTGTTACTTGGGAACATTCAAACTTTGTACCAAATTTGATCGAAATCATGTGAAATAATTCGATTTACGGGGTTGACTTTCAACGTGACATTGACCTTTAATCTACATTCACCAAAAGTTAATCATTTGTTACTTGGGAGCATTCAACCTTTGTACCAAATTTGATCAGATAACAATAATAAAAACCGTATGAGTTACGCTGTTAACACACACACACACACACACACACACACTAAAGACTTCAAAGAAGAAACCCAATGTTCGCGCCATGCCGGGTTTATTATCTTTCGAAAATTGTTTGTAAGTTGTTTTATTTTGTAATTCTTTGATATTTTCTAAAATATCGCATTTTAAGAAGGAAATGCATTTTCTAGAGTTTCTTGTAAGAACAAGTCAATAATAATGACACAAGAGAAGTAACCATAACCTACAGTAGGCGTGATATTGTAGTAACTACGTATAACACAGAGCAACTTGTACACGTCTGTGTTACCAATTTCTATATTGTTGTTGTTTTGTCCATAAATTGGACTATGTGAATAAATTTGATTATGTAAAAGTTACATAACAAGGTTCAGGCTGTTCTCATTCAGTGCAAGTTTCACGTGAAAGCACGTATAATTTGACTAAGAAAATGCTTTCGTATGAATGACAGTGGAGTCTAAGTGTCTGAGAAAAAGTTTCATTTGATTCAGTAACGTACTAATAAATTAGTTTGTCGTCAGCCTAAACCTTGTTGCGTTACATTCAACCTTAAACAAATGTATGCCTTTTAAAATTGTTAGTTTTAATAGAAATGTTTCAGTATAACAAACAAGTAAAGATCAATTTCAATTAGTTTCAGTTTTTTTGTTGTTGTTAAAGTACAAAGCGGTACAATGGTCCTTCTGCATTGTGTCCACCGCAGGGGTCGAATCCCAAGTTTTAGCGTTATATTTCCTCAAGCTTACCACTGAGCCACCGGGACAATATTTCACTTAGGAAAAACAAGAACCTTGTAGGTTTCTACTTTATATTTCTGATAGAAACTTATACACCGAATCCACAGTTTAGCTGAACTTCTAAAACAGTATCACACAACTGTCATATGAAGGAAACAGGGGCGTTGTGAGTTCTTTCGCACACATACATAGATATGTGTATTCCCTTATATATACACCTAGAAAAAAGTTAAGCACCACCAAATATTTTTCAGGATTGCTTATTGAAAATAAGGTTTAATTTT